GCAAATAACAAAAACACTATGTTTTTACCTGAGAGAACACCTCTCTAGGAATCTCTAGGTCCTCCAGTGCAACTCAGTGGTCAACATCTGCCAGACATTGACCATAGAATTGTGATGGAGGAGCTACAAAGTGGAATCTCCTCTCTACGAATCTCTAGGTCCTTCAGTGTGACTTTTATTAAAGTTGACCATAGAGGTGTGCTGGAGGACCTAGATATTCCTAGACGGAACATATTAATAAAATCCATGAATAATCAATCCGCAAAAGTCAAAGCGGCATGTAGACTAGCAGCTTTGAGACTCTGAATATATGTACATGTGGGCTGAGATACTATAATGATTTAACATAATGTGAATATCCCAAATTATGTTATGTAGCCCCTATACTGAATATCAGCATAGCAAATATATAGGGCTCAATGGTCAATGTGTATGAATGACAACCCATTATACAGTTGCAATGTTCAATGCATAGAGACAGTGAGCAGTCATATGCTAACCTGTGTGCCCTTGTGTGTTACCACATGTGCAATGGCTCCACATCTGCAACTACATTTATGCCACTGTTAGCTGGATACAACCATTGCACACCACTGTACATGCATGGTACAACTGGCACTTGCATACATCGCTAATAGGATGCTGGCCGTGAAAATCCACAAGACCAATCCAGTTTAGCAGCCTCTTCCCATAGCAGTCATCCAGATGTCTAATGAAAACCCACAAACAGGACAGGAGGACAATGGCTTTTTCCTGCTCATGTTCTCCAGCAACGAGTATTGAAAGGTTAAGACTTTGAAGTTAACATATAGAGCTGCAATCCTGTATGGGTCAGCATAGTTTAGGAGGTCCACATGTGGACCTATACTAGGCTGATCCATATACCACCCCCAACTTATTGAACAGCCTCTGACACACATACACAGACCCAGGCTTTTTCCTGTTTTGTATGGAGTGGACAGGATTGCAGCCCTGTAACCAGACATGAAATGGTTACAGCAGCCCTGAAATCACTGCAGGACTCTGATAGATTTCAGTGCTGCCATAATCATTTTGCATCTGGCTACAGGAACACAGCCAGACACTTCTGCCAATTTCCCCCAGCTATCCACCAGACATGGAATAACCATAAAGGAGGCTTCAGAGGATGTTCAGTAAATTGAAGCAGGGTTTTTTGGGGGGATCCTGGATTGGGGAGGGAGATAATCCCAACCTCTACAGCACCTATAGCACACACACATGTGTGAAGGAAAATTACACATGTGTATGTTCTTAACAGGATGCCAACTGGGGTGTGTCCACTCTACACAGTTATCACATTTAGATGCTGCTTTAATTTCTATGGCTCCATCCTATGGCAACATGGGAATTGTTGTTTGGACTGCTCAATCCAATGCAGTCCTGGGGTTTGTAGTTTGGTGAGGCACTAGAGGTCTCTAGCTGGAACCTCTAAATACCTCCTTCAGCTGTAAATCCCAAAATTCCACAGGATCTTACAACGACAGTTAAAGTGGAATCATAGTGCTAGGATTATGTAACAAGCAAAACCCCCGAGCGTGACAACACTATACATTTGTATAAAGACACTGTGATATTTGGCGATTGCATTTTCAATTCCTTCCTGCTCCTAGTCAGAGGAGAACATCCCGCACTACATGGGACTAATAATTTGACTCTATACTTCATATGTTTATATGCTAAATCCTTGCAGGAACATCTAAATCAGCCAAACCTCCTCTGGGGAAATAAGCAAAATATTGTACTTGGAGCAAATGACTTGTGATGTTGGCAGTTTGGTTTCCATTACAAAACTGAGGATGAATAATAGAAGGGGCAGACTTCTGAAATGGTTTCTCAGACACAAAATGGTAATCATGGCTGTCATCTATACCTGGCAATTTGTTCTTTGCCTAGAAATCAGGGATGAGAAAACTGCGGCCCCATTGTAGCTCCAGGGTTGCAACTAGACCATTGCCCTCAAAATAAGAATTCTGCCCTCCAATTTTTCTTTCAGTCCCCAAATTTCTAGTATTGCAGAGGTCAGATATTGAAAATTGTTCACATCTAGAACTCTTCTATTTGCTATGTTCACATTGCTTTGGTCTCTTTGCCTTCTCCTTTTCTTTGGATTTCTTGGTGTGTGCCTTCAGGTCATTTCCGATTTATGGCAACTGTAAGGCACACGGATCATAGGATTTTCTTGGCAAGATTTATTCAGAGGGCGTTCCCCTGAGGCTGAGAGTGTGTGATTGCCCAAGGTCACCTAGCCAGTTTCCATGGCTGAGTACGGATTTGAACCCTGGTCTCCAGAGTTGTAGTCTCCAGCACTCAAACCACTATACCACACTAGCTCTTTCATTTCTTTGGATGCCTTGACTGAATTTCTAAATGCTCAACTAAAGTTTTAATGTAGATCTCAGTGCCACCATAATCATTTTGCATCTGGCTACAGGAACACAGCCAGACACTTCTCCTAGAAATGTGGAAATGGGAAGAAAATTTCATTGAAGGGGTGAGGAATTCTTACTGGGGGGAAGTGCTCATTCCTACCAGCCCCTAGCTACTTTTGTGTAGCCATTTTTGTTTGGATCCCAGACTTTATGCAGTCCTTCTAGCATTCCCCCATAATATTTTGCTTTGAAAAAACATGCAAAAATATACTACACGCTATTATTAGATTTTCTATATCTATTGTTATATGAGAGCCAGCACGGTGTAGTGGTTTAAGTGTTGGGACTGATATTATGGGGGACCAGAGTTCAAATATAAATTAGTGAGGAAAGAAAACATAACATAATAGCAACACAAGGAAGTGCATAACTATCCTTTTGAATATGGTTGGTCCTCTACATTTGTGGCTTTGACTTTTGCAGATTTGATTAATATGTTCTCTCTAGGATTTGCTAGGTTCTCCAGAGAAATTCTGCTGGAGGTTGACCATAGAGTTGTGCTGGAGGACCTAGATTCCTAGAGAGGCATTTGTACGTCCTCTAGAATGATTCTATGGTCAAATTCTGGTAGATGTTGACCATAGAGTTCTGTTGG